AGACAGACATCACCATGCCAACTCTCCCAACCTACCTGTAAGCTCAGTGAATGAGTGCCCCTCCTGTAGACATTTTGAGTTCGGCATCTTCTCTCTCTCATGTCCGCCTGCATGACAGCTGAGTATCCTATGTCTGTCATCATGCACTGCAGACTACTGCCCTTACCAATATGGTGTGCAGAAAACACCAGCAGAAGTAGACAGACCTGAGAACCAGACCGAACATCTGATCACCATGACACGGCCACATCTATACAGTTAGCCATTACCCTAACGGCTCACTATTGACACACATAACTTGTGGTGGATGGCAAACTGCAGGCAAAGCTGAAATTATCGCCTCTCTGCAAATTTATGCTCATTTAGCAGATGTTTTGATAAATGATTCTTACTGGCTTTTTACACACCTAGATTTTATTTCATGTACAGAACCAAGCATATACTGTAGGTATGAGCCGCTAGGTAATATTTACAAAATATACACCGTACTCTTACTTTGAATAAAATTATAATTGCGTTATGTAAAAGTTGCGGGGGGGTGGGGTGGGTGGGAGGTACCACAACCTAGATCGTGGATGTTTGGTTTGTGACTTTGGTTTCAGAACTATTACACCTATAAATGGAGAACAGTAAAACAAGGTACAAGTAAGGTGAACTGTGCCGAAATGCAGTTCTTGAGCAAATGTAATTAGTTACTTTCTACTACTGGCACTAGTTTAAGCACAGCTGGATTTAACTGCTCCAAGTGTCAGAGTAAGCAGAAAGCAGAGTGAGGACACACTGTGTGTGTTGGGCTGCTCTGCTCTTCTGTTCTATCACTGTCAACTTCTTTCACTGAAGTTTTTTTATATACCTCTGCACTAGTGACAGCTGTGGCCGGAGGTAAATGTTTTCAGGTCGTCTGTTCAGCGCAGATCTCATCCCGATATTGAGTCCAAGTGGACCATATTCTCCACCTTCATTGTCGATGCGGCCGTTTGGAGCTGTGGCCGTAAGGTCTCCGGTGCCTGTCGTGGTGGCAATCCCTGAACCCGGTGGTGGACACCGGAAGTAAGGGATGCTGTCAAGCTGAAGAAGGAGTCCTTTCGAGCCTGGTTGGCTCGTGGGACTGCTGAGACAGCTGACAGGTACCGGCAGGCCAAGCGGGCATGGAGGAGTAGTATTGGTCGGCCTCGAAGAGATTCTGGCAAAACGTCCGGCGCCTCAGGAGGGGGAAGCAGTGCCCTGCCAATACTGTTTACAGTGGAGGTGGGCAGCTGTTGACCTCAACTGGGGACATTGTCGGATGGTGGAAGGAATACTTTTGAGGATCTCCTCAATCCCGGTGCCATGTCTTCCGATGAGGAAGCAGAGGCTGAGGGCTCAGAGGTGGACTCATCCATCACCCAAGCTGAAGTC